GTGTTTGTTAAATTGACAGTTGAGTCCCATTCACAGACCAGAATAATTATCATCTGCGTTACTGTAAGTGATTGAAGACATACATGAGATAAGATTTGCAGGGAAAAATAATCTTTTATTAGAATAACTGATAGAGCTGGAAAAACCATACAGGCTGAGAGGCACACATGCCTTTTGCCTTACTTATTGCTCTCTGTCTCTTGAAGACTGTCTCCTGCACTCCAGTTTGGAAGACCAGTCATTGCTCAAGTGCATTTTGGGAATACTGATTTGGGAACCTAATTGGGCTCTCCCTGATAGTGGGTAACTTTTATAAATGAACAGCACTACCATAATCTAGTGGCTGTATTAGGACTCGGACATAGGATATTGTAAGTAATTTATCTTGTTTGAAAGGAACTTAATTCGGATGCTCTGGTAAAGCTGCATCTTGGAGACAGATGCATTCAGGTAAACAGCAGAGGGACCTAAAGGCTGCAGGACGCTTTTGATTGCCGAGAACTGACTTCTGGGTTAGAGAGCTGATTGCTTCATTGAAGCAATGTCAGTGCTCCCACCCATTTTACTTCTGTTTTGTTGTCATTCAGGTATTCACTGAATAAATATGCTTCTGTTGGAAAACAAGTCGCTGAGTAAATAGGTTAAGTGAAGTTGACAGTTCATGATCTACAATAGAATACATTAACAATATTTTAATATTGTTACTGAATCATAGTTATGGTTTTATAAGCCATTTACCTCAAACTCTAGGTAATTGTTAAAATAAACAAAACAGGAGGCTAAAAAAGGAAGCATGAAAAGAATCTGAATCAAGGAAAAACAGCAACAAAAACCCCTTTTTTGCAGTATGCCTTGCTATAGCCCTTTTTGATATATCTAAATCAAAACAGTAAACAGCTCAACACATTTAAGGTATAATGGAAAGGGAGACCATGCACATGGTTGGCAAGCCCTTGTTTTTGCAGATGTGACTGGTTTCCTCATTTGCAGAATCCTATTCACTGTGAACAAAGGCTTCCTGATTGTCATATGAACTTGACTAGAAAGCTATCCTGCAGCTAAAGAGATATCAAATATTAATATTTGTGCTTGTGTAGTCAAAGGTGTGTGTATTGAATAGGTCTTGAGTCTGGATATAGCTACAGCCTCTTGTAAAAGCCAAATACAATATAAAAATTACAGTGATAAATCAGTGCAATGTGTTTTGTCAATAACTGATGCTAGGTAAAATCAGATACAACCTCTGAGTCTGAGATAAAAGATAAAGTCAGACAAAGCAGAGAAAATTGTATTTACCAAGGAAGGAAATATCTTCTTACTTTTTTATTTTTTTTTTAAATTCAGAGTAGGAGGCAGCAGGAGGTTTTGTGTGTTAAAGACATACACATACGTAGGCATAGATCATTCACTCTGTATTTTAAATATGGGACGTTGCAGGGTATCCTGAGCTGTTGTTTAATGAATGAGTTAAAAGAAAGTTGGGGTTTGTGTCACAGCACAGATAGATGCTGTTGTGCAAGCCTTGCAGTATGTAATGCATCAGGACAGTTTCTTCTTTCAGTTTGGATAAATAATGGCCATAGAAGTAAGTGCCTGGAGAACATTAAACAGTGTCTGTTCTTCCCATAATTACACACAAGTTCCCCAGTGGGTCTGACGCGACCTGACTTTTAATAACTGGGCCTTACGCTTGGCTTCCTTCTCTCAAAATAAGGCTGCAACAGCAGGACACGTGTTGACCTTTTATCTTTCGGAAGACACAGGAACCAGAGGGGAGTTCACTGCTTGTCAGGAGGTCCTCCCTCCACCTTCCCAGGCAGAAAAGTGCTCAAGCAGCAATATGTAAATATTGGGTACTCACCTGGTGATCTCTTCATTTACCTTTTGGCTTTTATGCACACTGGCCATTAAGGTTTGAAGTTTTGATGATCCCCCCATAAGCTCTGTCTTTTTAAAATGAGATTGTCGCTCTTCCTGTAGTGTAACCATGGAAACAGACAGGGAACCCTTATAGAAAGTGATCGAACATGCTGTGCTAATTAATCCTACCCTTCAGTTTTCTTTCAGTTGAAGGATGTGGTTAAATAAATTTTGCATGAGTAAGCATATTTGGATGTGCAAAAGGGTATAAAATATGTAGCAAATTTTCTTGCAGAAGGATAGCTGAAAAAAACCACCCTGCTAACTGTCATCTATTTGCATCTGGAGCATCAAAACAAGAAATGCAGTATCTTGTTAGTGTTTCGTATATATATTTTGATAGCATTCTTTTTAAACTGTAAATATGTCTGAAAGATGAGGATATTTTTTCATGCCTTAAGTGTGATGAGAGACATTTGCATTAATTTTGAGTCTTCAAGTGAAAGTGTTCATAATTGCAAATGCCTTCTTTATGCAGAGCGTTATTCAGAAAAAGCAAACTTTGCTCCCTCCCTGAGAGAAAGCAGCTCCTCCGAGGCATTAGCCTAATTCAGGTCCTTTCAGTTCTGCACAGGAACTGAACTCCAGGACCGTGCCAAATTTTCCTCTGCCAAATTTTAGCCTTTGTGAGTATTTCACTCCTGCTTTCCATTGGGCCATTTAGTTTCCAAAGTGTAGTGTATGTGCCCGACTACGAAACCATTTGGCCACAACTTAAAACATATGGCCTGTACCCATAAACCTCTTAAACCCGGTGATGCTCTGATGCCAATGTATGGCCTCAACTTGCTTTTACAAATTAAGGTTTTGTTTATAACTTTCTCCATTCCAGTAATGATCTTCTTATAACTGAGAAACCAGATGTAGCAGCTAACCTTATATGAGGCTTTCATGGTGTTTTGGGAGTGAAGAGCAGATTAAAGAAAAGCATTTAGTTGTCCAACAGGCTGGGATTAGCTCAAAAGGGCCATCCTTTGAAAATCGGATAGATTTTAGTTAACCTGGAACAGATTAGAGGTGGAGGAGATCTAGAAGCAGTGGGCTGTGTGTCATGACTTTGTGTCATGGAGACCTGAGTTCATTTTTCACCCTGCAAACTCTAAAGTTTTTTGACAGTTTTCCCCAAATCACATGATGTTGCTGGCTTCTTAAAAATGCCTTCTCCCTGCCTGCCTATGCCTTTTCTCCTATCAAAGCTATGTAGAAGATTAGGGAGGAAATAATTTGCAACAAAATTCAGTCTTCCTCAGGCAAGACTGAAGGGGGGCTCAGACAGGCAAAGAAGGATGGAGACATTCACCATCCAGACTTCTCAAATCCTTTCATAATTTTTATTTAGCTTAATAATAGTAGGTCCATATCCATAAATTCAGGGTCTACTGTTTCAGTTTAGTCCCATGGGATATAGGTGCTCAGAAACTCAGACTTGTTAATGTTTCTCTGGGCTGGGAATAAGAACTATTCACCAGTTAGAGCATTTGGTGGTTTCTGATCTCCTAGAAGCAAAAACATTAATCTGGAGGCAGAGGCACTGCAGAGCGTGTGATGTGACCTCTCCTCTGGCCTCTTTGGGGCTGTACCTGGCCAACCCTGAGTTGTCTGTGTGAGCCAAGTTATTCATCAAACTGGTGGCCAAGTGCACAAACGTAAAAGAGATGGAGGTCTGAAAACTTAAAGAAAATGGTTATTCCTATTTCAAATGTAATTTTTTTAGAAGAAAGTCTGGCACACAAGTTAAATTATTCCCCTACACTTGTCTAATTGCTATAATCAGCTGATAATGCAATCTACTGGCAAGATTTGCCATCATTACTATGGAGATATATTCACTGAGATTAACTGTTCTTAAATAGCTTCTCCAGTGTATTAAGAATAAAGGTTCAAAGGACTCTCATCTGCACTCTTATGTGTATTCTCATGTTGCGTATTTCTTTCTGAGTGTATGACTTTGCTTTTTGGTTTCTGTAAGGTGTAAGACATGACCTTCTGTTTTAGTAATTTCATTTGTTTTGTGAAAGGGAAATTGGTAGTCCTTTGTTTAGGAAGGCACAAAAAAAATTAGTAGCGCATTCTCCTGATTTCCATTACTTGTGCATGTCCAGTGTTCCCAGCAAGGGAGTGGATGGTCTCAAGGCAGTAACTAGGGGCAGATTATTTGGAAAAGGTGTTTGCAGGCCGGTGATGGGAACAGTCGCCATAGCCCTGAAAATCTTCTTCCGTTTCCTGGGGGAGAGAGGCTTCTGTAGGAAAGCTGTTAGAGAAGTATGCTCTCTACTGCTGTTTTTAGCATGTGAGGGTCTCTCCTAAAATCTTTCCAATTTTACATGAGATAGATTATGGTTGTGTAGTAATGTGAATTATTTTAAATGACTGACAAGCTTAAAAGACAATTATTGTAAATAGTATATCTTTAGTAGGCCACAGACTTCATTGAAATGATTTCTGCTTCTGAGATTGGTGCACTGCCAGTATACATTCGTTGAGAGAGAAGAATTTTGCACATACCATTTTCTGATGTATTACTGCAATATTAATATTTATTTGAATGATAATGTGTAAGCATGTCTACTGCTTTCAAATATAAACTTGAATAAGCAGGCTGGGGTTTGCAGTGTAAACTGTGCGAGGTTTCCTTAGGCTCCCTTAAAAAACCAAATCTCATCTGTGGCACTATTTATCTGGGAGTTTCCTTTTCATTTCCTTTTTCTAAATAACATTGAAATGAAAGACTATTGATGCCTTAGGATGCGCAGTTAATGGAAATGAAAATCTTTGTTTATTTGTCTCTCATTTAGGTATACCACACTGTATCTTTGCATCTCTCCTGGGCCTGTGGTTGTCATTATGAAAAGCATATTTTATTATTCCTTCATAATATTCACAGCTCTGTTTAGCCAGATACTAAATGATAGATGCTACCACATTCTTTCATTAAGTAACTTACTCCAATACTAGAAGAAAAAAACGCTTGCAACATGCCGTCATGTTATGTGATGTATGCTCATATATTCTTTTAGGATCGTAACTATACAGCAAACTATTTCTTTGTTTGCATTAATTTATTTGTATTTACCCCACAGGTCTTGCAAGAGCTAAATCAGTTCCCAGCCATACGTATTCCAATGAAGTGGTAACCCTATGGTACAGGCCTCCAGATGTCCTTCTGGGATCAACAGAATATTCCACTTGCCTTGATATGTGGTAAATATAGAATCCTTACACAAGACTCTATGTAGATGCTTTAGCTCTGATTTTTTTTAGACATGAAAAACAAATATGTAGCAAGATTAGTGGTACAGGTTAAAAAACTTGTGTGTAGTAATCTGTGTGGTTCACTCAGTACCTCCCTAAAGGAATCTCCTCCTGCCACCCCACCGGTTGGCAGCTGGTACCTGCTGTTGACACACCACTAGAAGAGCCATTGCTGCTTTGCAAGAGACTGAGTTGTTGCTTGACTTTTGTAGTCTTAATGTGGTGATATGATACTTGTTTTGCAGAAGATAGACTTTCACCATGCCCAGCTGTAGCAAGGACAAAACCAGGATTCTCTGGATGTGAGGATACAGCCTCAGTTCTTAATCTACTGTACTTGTTAGCAGTAAATCAGTGTGTGACACATCACTGAATAGTTTTCTTTCAAACTTACAGATTTTATTTAGACCTGCAGGTTTGAAAGGGCAGTTTGATGTGTACAATATATAGCACCTTGCTCCTTTTTGATAACATCATTTAGTCCTGTGTTGAACAAAGAAGGTGTTTGGTTTTTTGACTGTTAGAAACCAAGGTGGAGGTTCTTCGTTTATCCTGTAGTTTTTGAGGTCACAGGATCTCTGTAATCTGTACAAGTTCTGTAATTAGTAAGAGCTTCAACTGTGTTAGTAGAAGCAATGCATGTTGATTCAAGAAACAGAAATGTGGAAAAAAATATTTTTCCTTACAAAGCAAGTCTTATGCTCTGGAAGACATTAATTTTTTTGAATGTGTATTTGACTTTTTAAATCTATACAACTCATTTCATTTGAGGAAAAAAAAAATAGTAAGTTTCAGAAAAACATGATGATTTTTTTGTAGTGTGCTGAAATATCTTTCTTTAATACAGGCAACCTAAATTTAGAATTATGATTATGTTAAAATCTAGAGGTAACTGTAAGATAAGGTAAAAAAACCTTATGTTTTCATACTGTGAGTGAATAATATTTGTCAAGGTAATCTTGCAGTGTAGTACTGAAACTGATGACCTCTAGCAGGAATATTTTTTGCTGAGGAAGGGAACTAAGCATGACTAGGTTGTGTTTAGTCCTGTAGCCAAGATCAGAGAATGTGGGATGAAAAGCTACGTTTTCCTGAAAATCTCATCTAGTTTTTCCCCATAGCACTGTTAAGTCTTGACTCCTGGGGGCAGGAGTTAGAAGCTGCAGGATTGTTTCATTTGAAGGGGTTACAGAGTATAAATAGTAGAATATCTAATACATTTATTATAACTGGGCCTCTGACTGCTGTAGTTCCTTGACCTGTAAGGTGAACCAAGAGGCAGGAAAGGCAGGGTGAACAAACTTCCCCGAATGTGAACGTTGTGATACTGCAACTGCACCAGAGAGGCAAAGGCAGCATCTTCTGTATCAGCTGTCTGGTTTTCTTCAAACTATTCTCCACCTCACAGTTCTAAAATAATTACCCCCTGCATCTCAGCTTCTCATCTATCCTAAAACTGACCTGTTTTCCCAAAGATCAGGTTCAACCTGGTGTCTTCACAAACTGTATGCAATCTCCGCATCCCATCTGCTCCTGATGTTTTGCAATCACCTCTTTTCCAAGATACACCTCTGACACTCTCAGCAAGAAGCTTGACTTGCTTGGGGTGAGGCAGACAACTGCATCAGAGGATGGAAATAGCTGGGAAACATAAATACTTCTTTCTGCTTATCTTCTTATGGTTCAGTCTACATGTGTTCAGTTCTTGAGAGTCCCACATCTTTGTGTACGTGTTTACGTACGTGTCTCAATTTGTGAAGTACAAAGAGAATGAGAGAATATATGGAAACGGCTAAAGAAAATTTTTAAATGCTTTAATAGAGCAGACTGCTCAAAAAGTGCTCTAAAATGCTTTTTAGTCAAAAGACAAATTGGAAATTTATTTTTTTAGCATTTACCAATTAAAAAAGTTACCGCACTTTGAAATTAAAGGATTTTTTTGTTTGTTTGTTTGTTTTAACTGAACAAAGGATTTTAAAACATTTTTCTCACTGAAACTTTTTCCACAAAGAAAAATGGTTCACTCAAAAGTTCAATAGCTTGTCAAAAATAGAACTTTTAACATTCCTCCCAATAATGATTTTAGTAAAAGAGCTATTAAAAAGTCCAGTCAAACTATGTGGTGTTACTGTGATCGAGATCAAATTAAGCCACGCAGCTACTAGAAGCATTTTAAACTTACTATAAATGCAGACTGAACATTTCCTTCATAATTATATGTTTATATTCAAATTACATGGACAGCAGGGAAGATCAAGGCAGGAATCAAAATGCCACGTCATCAATCCAGGTCATTATTTTGTGTCCTGACAAAATGATGCAAGAGTATTGGGGAAGAACACAATAATTACATCTTCAATGATATCGATAAATGATGTCCTCTTGCACAGAGCATTTCATATAGGTCTAAAAAAGATCCAGGTGCTCAGGGATAGAGGTGGTGAGTTCTGTTTCAAATGAAAAACGACATCATACTGCTCTTGTACTAGATTTGTAGCCCTTAGAAAATTTTTGCTGCCCTGTACAAACTGGAGAAATATGAAAAGCTTAGAAAAAAGCCCTAGTAATACAGTTTCTTTCACGTGGTAGGAATTTATGTTAGAGGCTCAGCTACTGCCACATCAGAAATCAGATTAGAGCAAATGTAAATTGTGTGTGACAGAAGAGCTTTAGGTTTTTACTTCCATGCTTTGCTAGGTTATCTGAGACAGAGCTTCCAGTTTGATTGCGAGAGGTGTAGTTGCATGTTAAGGTCACTTATGCTTATTTGGCACATCTAACAGTGAGCTCTGCTGGAGCACAGGCAGGCTTGGGGCTTTATTTATACGACGGTTGTACATAGCTGGGCCATAATTACATTAAAACCACTTAGTGGCTTCCCAGAGTGGGAAGAAGGGAGACGCAGAGAAACCCACCTACCATCAGATTCCAAGATAATTTGGTAATTTGTTATCAAAAGTGTGTTTGTAGCATTAGCATTTTTATGCAATTACTGGCATTATGTCCTTATGGCAGATAGTGTGTGCTCTCCCGTGTCCTTATTGATGATCTACATGATGACAAAACTAGGCAGCCACTTACTAAACATTTAAATAATGTTGAGGTAGAAAGCACAGCTGTTTCTTCCATTTTCTTTTTGGGGGGGGGGGGGGCGGAAAAGACACAGGGCCTTTGCTATAGCCATGATAAATGACATTTCATGGTGGTTCCCAAGGAACGGAAAGTGGGGCTCCTACTGAGTAGAAGACCAGCTGCATGAAAAAAGAGTCCAAATATTAACCCCTGGACAGTGGCTGGGAAGCAGGTGGCAGAGGCTGCAGGCTGTTTTTACACTTCATTTGCTGGTGTAGGGCATTAGGGTAGTAACTAAAAGCTAATGATCCACATGCAATGTTACATTCTCCTGCATTCTTTTTTAAATAGCCACAGGCAATAAAATAATATTAATGAAGACATACATGCATTAGTGGTGTCAGGCTGGTGATGGAAATCAATGCGGTGAGCTTTGTGATTTACTGCTGACAGTATTTGATACAGTGGCATTGTGTGAATGTATTGTACTACCCACGACTGCATCGAAGAGTTGTGATAACCTTTGATATACCTTTTTTTTTTCCTCTTGATGAGGACTTACTAGTAGCTAGGAAAATGGCTTTGCATTGCCTCTGGTGTAACTTGTCCTAATCCTTGAATTTTACAGTCCTTTGAAAGTCAATGCAAGGAAAATAAGCTTCAATACGTAAAGGGTTTATGTATTACTAAAACCCATATATAAGTAATACGGAAACATAGGGAAAAAATTCCCAAATGAACCTATTCTATTTGTCCCTTACAGGAAGAATATAGTATTAGCAAATGAAGCAATTTAAACAGGTTTTTAAATCCTTTTTGATTCTGGTAATGCATGTACTGCTACATCTGGGTTGCTTACATCAAGAAGTCACTAGGGATATTTTATTTTGAAGTGCAGCTGGCTTTAAACTGTGTTTGCTAACAGCTGGCGATTTTTTGCATATCCTGTTGTTTTGCTTTTAAAAAATACACTCTTAGTCACAGTTCAGGTAACCTAAGAAGTCATAGGCTGTGATATATTTTTAAATTCACTTTTACTAACGAACATCAGCTATGGTTAGTGCTGCGGAAGAAATCACTTAAAACTAGGCCAGTCAAATGTTATGAAATTGCTTATTAAATCACTGTTATTTAACTTTGTAACATCTGGATTGATATACATGATTTCAAATCTGATCTTAATTTAAGGAAAGCTCTTCATATGGCATTTTTCTATCCTATTATTAGAAAAATAAATGGTATTTTTCAGGAACACACCACTTTCCACGCATAGCCTGCTCCGAGTCCAGATTTGAGTGCTCACTGTAATTCCATGCATGCTTTCATGAATATTTGACCAGTGAAGACCTACGACAGTAATTAAGATATTTATTAAATAAAAAATGGATCTTGTCTTAGACGCAGGTGCACCAAATTATGTTTTTACACAGGGGACATTACAAAGGCATCTTTATCCTGTATCTGCTGTAAACAGTTTGCAGTGAGAGAAATCCGAGAGCAGTAGTCCCAGCACGCCCTGAAGAAATACTGCTTGGGGCCCAAGAGAGAAAACAGCGTAGGGTAAATTAGTTCTTTTGCCCTTGATGTTCTTTATGATTATGACTTCCACTCCAAAGAAATGCTAATCTGTAGGATTAGGATATTAAGGTGAGGATATTGCGATAACTATCAAGGTATTGTTAATTGAACTTCTCTCGTTGTCAGTGCGTTCTTCAAAAGTTTTATCAGCTGAATTAGCTTTTAATTGGAAAATTCTCATAGGGTTGAATTAATAGAAACACTATGTGTGAGGAAGCCATCTTGGTCTCTAGTTATTGGAAGGGCATTTCAGTTCCTGTCTAAAACCTACTTTTATCCATTTGGAACATCAGATTTAC